TTTAATTATATATATAATTAAATCATTAATAAATCATATATTTATTATTATAATATATTATTATTATTATATAATATATATAATAAATAAATTATAGAAAAATAAATTTATATATCTTATCTCTATAAAATTCCCCTGTCACAGTGTTTGTTATTTTTATTCTCCGAAACGACTTGACCAATTTATATGAAATTTTTGGTGTATATTCGGTAGGTATGAGAATAGTTTTTCGTATATTTCTTATACCCCTGAGTGATAAGGGTGACCCACCATAATTATTTTTCCTTTAAAAGGATATTAAGAAAAAAGAGAAAAAAAAGACAAATAATATGTGCGTATATTCAGACAATGTAAAATTATATGATGTGAAGTAAGTGGTGATCTTATGTTACCGCTCATGCGCAGTTGATTCGATATTAAGAGAAAAAGAAAACAAATGTTATGTGCGTAGATTCAGATCTATCTATATATTTATTAGCCACAGCAACGCGTGGCCGGGGCACCCCTAGTATACATATATTTATATATTTTTAAAGTATTTATATATATATATATATTAGGGTGGGTCGAAAAAATCAATTATTTTTTTTTTTTACAAGTGCCATGGAAAAATTATATATATAAATAATAATGAGACGTAGATTGGAGGATAATATTAGAAGAGACCTGAAAGAAATAGGATACGAGGACCGCGAATGGAAGGATCGCGCTCAGGGACAGGAACAATGGCGGGATTTGGTATTTGCGGTAATGAACTTTCGAGTTCCTAATGCCAGTTAATAATAATAATAATATAAATAATAATATGTTTATATTATTTTTTCTAAAATATGTAACTGTTTTTATCTAATTATAATATTCCAATATATACAAGCTTATGGAAAAATAATAGTAACAATAATTTGATTACCTTTAATTCGATGTTAAGTTGCTTTTCCAAAGATAAAAGTCGAAGATCCGTGAACAGACCTTCCTGGCTTGGTGACGAAGGCCCCATTGGTGACAGAGGTGTGTCTAAAATAAAAATAGTCATTGTATCTCTTACAACGGAAATGAATATCTAGTAATGAAATTCTTTTATGGTTATGCCCTACCCAGTCTCATAGAACTCGACCGATCAATGTGTTTATCATCTATATTATACTTTGTATATTTATCATAAATAAATATAAAAATTGAAAAGATTTCAGAGTATCTGTAATTTCATCTAAGGTGTGTCAAAAATTTCAAGATCTGTAATTTAATAAACCGAAACAAATATTAGCCTATAATTTTTCATACATTTTGTCATAAAAAAACAATTATTAAAATTATTTCAAAACTTTTGATTCACCCTATATAACATGAATTTTTAAGAAAAAAAGAACCTTTCCTATAGTACAATTTATAAATTAAAGAAATATTTGTTTACCAAAATACATTTAGTAGCACAGTTTTGAGAAAATCCATTAATGCTCAAAATATTCATCTACAATACAACGGTAATAAATTTGTAGTAATAAATAAATTTTTGAAGTATTTCTGAGTAAATTACTATATTAATTTTTAATATTATTATTCTTATTGTATATTGTTTAATTTTTATTAATCATTGTTCAAGGAGATTTTAAAAAGGGTAGAATATTATCCTGATTTCAGTTTCATTTGTTTATTTAACTTTTTCTAATTGGATTCAAAAAAAAGAAATAGTTTGTTCGTTTCATTTTTAAATTATATTTCCGTAGTTTAGTTGATAAGCTCCAGGATATCCCATAAATATAATAATAATAATAGTAATAATAATAATAATAATAATAATAATAATAATAATAATAATAATAATAATAATAATATTATATAATAATTATAATATATTAATTATTTATTATTATTATTATTATTATTATTATTATATTTACACCATTTATTATTATATATTGCTTTTAAAAATTAATTAATATTAATAAAAGGATTCTAATTAAGTTTAGTATGTTATTAGTATACATATAGTATACAAAAAAGTTATTATAATATTATATAATATAATATAATATAAATATAAATTATAAATAATATTAAATATTATAATATATAATAGGAATAAATATTTAAATTTATTTTATCATTAATACAAAATATATATCAATAATAAATTATTAACAAAATTATTAATTAGATTATTGTTATAAGATATCAATAATATAAAATATAGTAACCATAATTTTTCACATATAATAAAAAATTCATTAAAATAAAATAAAAAATATTTACACCTTCTTAATATTTATAACCTAATTATATCTCTTTTCCTTATAGTACCATTTATATTTCTCGTATTATGCAAAGACCTATTGTTATTTGCTTTTAAATGTCTTCAGCCAATGGTACTTAAATCGATTTCATCGGATTGGTTGCAAATAATCACTATCGCCAACGATAATTCAATTCTGACAGAACAATCGTGATATTGTATATACAATATCTCTCATAACCTTAGACAAAATTTTTCATCGAAATTTAAATGATATCAGAGGTTGAAATAACGAATTGTTCAATTTAACATTCAATTTGTCCAACCAATCAGAATGATTAATATTTTTATTTGTAAAATTTAATCGAATATTTTTTTTTTTAAGTATTGTAAATTTTTATCAAAAAAATCAGGATGGTTTTTCAAGATAATTGTTTAAACAATATTTGTCTGTTATTACAATAATAACAATATTATAAAATTTGTTGCTTTTCATTTAGCGGATAATATCCAAGTTATCTTTGAGAGGTTATGTTTTTTAAATTAGTAACTATGTTTTTTGTAATATAAATAGCAAAATATTTTACGTATAAAATTGACTTTAAACTTTCGTTTCAAAATATTTTTTTTATTATCGAACTTCAATTTTATTTTGCTGAAATAAGAAATATGTACCCCTATTTTTTTTTTTAACATACGTTATGTATAATGATTATTTTTATTATATAAAATTTTTTTTTCACATTCATTTCTAATCTTTTCAGAATACATGATATATATCTTTACTTCAAAATTCCAAAATAATTGTCTATTGTTAACACTTTTTCTGTCACGTTTATCGTTTTATTTGACATAAAATGAAACTCATTTTAAGGCCAAGTGATATTTTCACCACTGACAGCAGATAATGTAGAGGAGAACAATTGTTGATATCACTATTACGTAGGTCTATGACGATATTTGCGATAAACTTACGTTGTAATGCAATGAATTATCAGTTACGTAATAAAGCTTTTTTTTCAATTGTGTATTTAAATAATTCGAAATTGGCTAGTTAGATATCTGTATTTCTATGAAAAATATAACAACAAAAAAGATGATTAATCGAAATTATAAAAATAAAAATATTTACTAGGAGAATGATTGATGCATATTGGGATCTCTGGCAGAGGCGTGGCTTACCCTAGCGGCAAAAATATGAACTAGAGACTGGATGATGGTGTGCATTACTTGTATAACCAAAACAAAGAACAACGTGTATAACATTATTATTTATATTTTATTTATTTATTATTTATTGTTTATATTATTATTATTATAATTTTTTTGTAATTAAATTAAATAAAATGAAACTTACATTGCAAGAAATTTTTAAATTTGCTTGCACATACCAAGCAATAAAAATGTTGTTGGTGGTGAAAGTGTTATTAAATGTTGGACATATGATTAAGTGTGGGCAAGTACCAAGTGGTGATTGTAATATTATAAGTATTTTAGCTTTTTGTTTACAAACTTCACATGTTAAAGATAATCCACATGAAATAATTGGTGAAATGTTAAAAAATGGTCGAATAATTAGAATGAGTTGTTCATGCAAGACTGGTTTAAGTGGTATTTGTAAACATGTTGTTGTTGTCTATCAATTATTTCTTTATCACCAAATTTGTTTATTCGATAAGCAAATTGTTTTTTACGAGGTGGAATTTGAAAAAACCTAATTTTTTCATCACGACAACCCATGCTTGTACAACCAAATACACAGCAACACACTTTACTTGTATTTTTTTTTGCTGGGAACTCCATAACAAAAAAAAATTCTTTACAACAACTTTTTAGTTTAACGATACTAGTTATTTTCAATTCTGCTTTCAATAATAAATAAGCAAGTCATAAAATTAAAAATATAAATATTTCCACATAAATATCGTGTAGTTTAAATTAGCTGTCAGCAATTCCTCCTTACTGCTCTAGTTCTGAATTTAGCCACCAGATAACGTATTCAAGTGCTAGAGATCCCAATACGCAAAGTTAAAATAAAAATTAATTAACAAAAATATTTATCTTATTGGAAGAATTTGTTTTCAAAATATGTAATAAAATACATTTGTTTATATAGATAGAATGTTTGAAAATAAAAAACACAAACTGCGAGGAGTATTTACATAAACCTAAGGCAAACATTTGTTGTGAGATAATATAAGATCGTTAATATTTTTATTACCTTGTTACGCCACTACAAAGTCATCTGAGATATCAGTAAAACATACACTGATAAACAAAACATTAAAATTTTATTTAATGATTGTTTAATGTTAAAAATAAACTTTTAGTACACAACGAGTGTTCAACTTTGAGAATAACTAAAGTTATTTTAAGTATACAACAAACGATCAATAGTCATGTGACTATAATTAACCCTTTGTACTCGGTTGTCCCCTCTTAGGGGACATGAAAGTTTATTAGCGATTACGGAGAATGAACTTGTTCCACCGCAATTTTTTAAAAAATACGTGTTTTTCTATAGTTTTCTATTAAAATGGCACAAAAAAACAAATCGAAATATGATAAAATTAAGAAATATATAATAATAAGATAATAATCATTATAATAATAAGAAATATATATATAAGAAAGATAAATAAATAAAGAAAATGGGATTGTATTGTCTGTTCTGACAGGAAAACACCAGGTGGAAGGCGGTAAATATGTACAAATGTGAAACATGTACAAATCTACCTGCTATGCATATTGGGAATTGCTTCAGACTTTACCATACTGTAGAAAATTATAAAAAATAAATTTTTATTTTTTTTTTTTGTAAATATGTGTTCTTCAATGTCTACAAATACATATAAACCAAATTTCATTACAATTCCTTACTTGGTTCTAAAATTGTACTGTATAATATCACGTTTCCAGGCTGTATGTTTTCGCGAAAAAGTGGCGCCGAGTTGTTGGTAGGCAACGTCCGAAACGGTGCCGAGTGCAAAGGATTAAGTATAGGGCGAACGTTCCACTTTGAGTGACTATAATCATCCTTATTTAGTACACAATTAAAAATATAATATTTTATTAAAATATCTATTAATATAATATTTATATTTAAAATTAGTTGACTAAGAACTACAATATATGAGTATTTATAGTCACTCGTAACAAAAAATATGCGTAAAATATTTTAACTATAGTCATATTTATTAGTATAATAAAACTGTTCCACCTTAATTGACTATAGTCACATTATATAAACACGAATATTCAGATTTGAGTGACTATAAGCATATTTAGTATAAAATGAACGTTCAATGTTGAATGATTATAGTTGCTTTTTGCACATAACGAGAGTCAACATAATAACTATAATCATATTTAACATAAAACGAATGATAAAGCGAGTGATTAATAATCATCATTAGTAGGCAGTATGTGTTACACATTAAAACTATAGTCATATTTAATGCTTAGCAAGCGTTTAATTTTGAATAACTATAGTCACTCTTAATACACAGCAAACGTTAACCAATGGGTTATTATAGTCACTATTAATATATTACAAATGTTTAACTTTGATAGATTATAATCATTTTGATATAGCAAATGTTTAGGTAGCTATACAACGATCGTTGATCATTAGGAAGTTATAGTCATCTTTAATATACAGTCAGCGTTAATCATTTGACATTTATAGTCACTTTTAGCATACAATGGACGATCAATTTTGAATAACTATAGTTACCTATAATATACAGAGAGCATTTAACTTTAATTGACTATAATCACCTTT